TAAACATTGTACAATTACACATCTTGATTTTCTCAAAAGCATCATATAAAGCTTTTAAAATTTGTTCTAGTTGAATAAAATTCTTCTTACATTATTAGTTATTTAGTTTAGGCATAAGTGTTCAAACACTTTGATTTTTTTCAGACCTATTACTTATCCAATAATTATAGATTTAAACTATTAACAAAGTACAGAAATTAATATTATATCCAATGGAAGAGTAGTGCTGAATGGACAGAGACATTACATACAAGTTTACTATCCTTATGCGATTTCTTACAATTAGTTCCATTTAGGTTTAACCTTTGATAGTGAGCATGGCTATAAGAAAGTGTAACTATGAACTCTATCACCACTAGGACTAGGTTCAGGTCATTTCCAAACTAGAAAATCCCAAGGAAGCAAGTTGATCCTTGGCTATATCTGGGATTTGAGGCAACTCCAAAGTGGCACTGCATTCATTAGTTCATCTTAGAATGAACCCAAATGTCTGAGTCAATATAAGAACTTAACTTCAAATCCACGATCATCTCAAAACTAGGATGCAATTTCAGGCCTTACCTGGTTTAGACCCACTCTGCTAGGATGCTCTAAACATCATGAATAGGGTGTAGGTTATTGAAGAGCCATTACCACTGCTAGCTCTGATGACCATTAAACCTTTATCAACAAATGCCTGAAGAATTCTCTCTCCCTGGTGTTTAAATCATCTGAATGAAAATAATATTTATCACTAAGAGAAAGAAGCAACACATCTTCTTACCAGTAGTGCCAAGAAAAAGAAGTGTCATGATCCAGTACACCCAAAATAAGACAAGAGCAAAGAAAGTCCAAAAGGGTTGGAAGACTAGCAGTGGCAAGTGAATGAAGACCTTGCCAGCCACGTGGAACAAGGCGATGGTAAGAGCAACACGTTTGCGCATCACCAACATTATCAGGAACAAGATAACCTGTGTGGAGAGAATAGATGGAAAGGTTCCAGGTACTGTTCTAAGCAGTAAATACAGAAACTGAAAATGGTGGAAATTTTTAACATAAACCCTTCATCCCCAATGCTGAAAGTATCATTCTCTGAATGCCAATACTTTATCAGTCTGTATCTTTTTTGCAGTAATTATCATTTTCAATTGTATATTAGGGTACCAAGTATCCTTTAAAACTAAACATAAAAAGATTTCTCAATTTATTGATAAATCCTAGAATTATTCTGCCTTTCCATTTGCTGTTCATTACAAATCAAAACGTCTTATTTATCAGTCAGAACAAGACTCTTAATTTATTGGAACAGATACATGCTTGTCATTCTGAAATCGGGTGAGAGGACCGCACGCCACCCCCACAGAAACATGGGAGGAATTTATTCGTATCACATCTCCCTTACTGGACCAAGAGCTCCCTAACGGTGGGGTCCATGCCAGAGCCACCTCTGCCTCCTCCCCGTCCTCACCCCCCACCTCCAGCAGCTGGCACAGCAAACTGTACTTAAAACGTGATTCATATTATAAGTATCTGTACAATAATAACTAACAAATATCTTTTGGCACCAATGATTTTATGGTGACTTTATTTTTTGTTTCTGATACTCAATAAAAAGCTTGAGGTAGCTCCTAGAAGTGGACTGATTTTTTTTTCTCTCTCTTCAGAGAGGAGAAGATGGTGAATGAAAGATATGCCCACAGATTATTTAACCACACGTTAATTAATAATTTTACTATGTAATACCCATATTTTTGAAATAATGCACATTTCTAAGAGAAAAGTTTGAAAGAAAAAAGATGGGAAAATAATTAGTGAACGAGTAAATGGAATGATGGTATTTTCTAACATACTTTTCTACAGTAAAGAGAACTATTTTTTAAAAAGTAATTACATTATCTTAGTGACAATAAGAAATATGTTCTTATTAGCAAATGGTAATGTAAGTATTCCTCTCTCACAAAGCAGACAGGATAGGATGAAATGTTGCATCAAATAGCACTCATTCATTACAGAAGCCTTCAGGAGACTTTTTAGTGTTTCACACACTGGGACAGAGATTTTATCTAATGAAGATAAGGGTTAGAAAAGCAAAAGCTAAAGGTGAGTTTCTGCTCCATTAATGATCTCCTGCAAATAAAAACACAAAACTGAAAGATACACTTAAGCTTATACTCACCGTGAACACTGTAGCTGAAATGGCATAGATGAGGAGGGCCCGCAGATTATCTTCAGCTATCTGAAGCTGTTCAGGAATAACCGTTTCTTTGGGAGACCTTCTTTGCTTTGCATACAGCCACCACAGTACACCTGTGCCACCTGGAGACAAAAAACAATTATTTTTGTGATAAGTAGCACAAGAGAATGCATACCATAAATCCTCAATTTTCTGGACCCTTTCTTCGCATCATCATGGGACTAAGGCAGCGACAATCCATCTAGCTGGAAGATGCATGGCTGTAACTTTTTGCCAGCATAAGGGAAGCACCATTACTGTATTATCATCTTCCATATTAAGCACTTACAAGTCCCTTAGTGTATCAAATAAACGTCCTTCAAATGTATTTATTATTGGGTATGAAGCCAACAGAGAGCCAGTAAAAACAGACATTGTGGAGAGGAATTGGTCACAAAGAAAGACAGCCTCAGCTCTTAAGCTGGGGAGGCCAAGGAGGCAATTTAGGGTCACAGAAAACATCACTGAAGCTTGATAAGGGCAAAGGTCTTCTCTTGTACTCATCACAGTCATCCCTGAGCCCAACACGGGCACAGTCATGCAGTTGAGTAAATGTTTGTACAATGAATAAATGAAGATCAAAAGAAAATCTCTGATAGTGGTGGATACTAGGGAAGGGCATTTTTTATTTCTTGAGTCTGATGAAGTCAACCAGACTCAAGAGGGAGGCAAACTTACCTTCATATAAGAGAGCTGAATTATGTACCTTCATTCAATTCATTCCACAAACATTCTGAGTGCCTGCAGCACTTATTATTTTAGCTGGGGAAGGAGCAGTAAACAAAGCTCTCACTGCTCCTAGAACTTACATAACAACGGGGAAACAAAA